CCACTTCAACTGTTTCCCATTGAGCGTTAAGGTGAAGTTTTGCACTTTCTTTGGCAGGCAGATTTCAAACACTGCTGTCTGTCTTTCAGGCACTTTCAGTGGTTTCAGTTCTGTCAGGAGTTAGGGGCTCACCTGTTAAAATACCAAAAAGACAAATATTCATTCTGTTATGCTTAGTTCCCGATCTCAGTTTTCCTACACCAAATAGATAGACTTCAGTGAAGTCATTTGATTTCTTTCTTGAGTGGTAGCAGAAAGATCAATTCATTCCTTCAACTTCAGTGGAAATTAAGCTAACTACAGTTCATTAATGTTCAGTAAACGTTGCATGTAATCCTACAAAGCTGATTAACAACAGACACACTACTTTTCTGTTCAGTTCTTGTCTTAGCTCTGCTTTTTTTTCTCTCCTTTACTGTAGGTCATTGTAAAGTAAATGGCTTCACGCAACTGCAGATGACATCTAAAAGCATACCTGGAACCATCTGGCAAGCTGAAGGAGGACTGACATCTTCCTGCATTATCTGTCAAGAGTGCTGCAGTGCCTGGCACAGGATTACTATTTGGCTTAAGTAACGTAATCTACCACACTACCAAATAGCCTGTGCCCAAGCCCTGCTAAGGGCTTTATCAAAAAGATAAGTATTATACTTAAAGAATGGTACTTATGGCAAAGCTTATCTTTAAGAGATGGTCCTACTGCGATAAAAGGTAAGGCAGGTGGGCAGCATTACTTTTACTTAGCATTGATTTAAAGCAAGTTTGCTGTATATAATGTGGTTGGTTTTCTTTCAAACAGCAGGCACACATTTGGCTGGTTGTAGGAAGCATATGCAGATGAAAATATCATTGCCATTATGTCCAGGCCCATCCACTCACTCCCAAGTCCTCTAACATTGTTTGAGCAAAGTTCACTTCCACTAAAAGGACAGTGCCAAGGTGCATTTTGTCATTCCCATCTTTTCCACTAAAACAGGTCCAAATTCAGTAGTGACTCACACCCCTGCCGCACTGGCGTCAGTGGAGAATTTGGCTTATTATGTGTAATAACTATGCTTCAAACTGAAACCTGCTCTCATGAAAGGTGTTTTCACATGGGCATTCTGGTAATTGTGGGTTGGTTTATGGCTTGTACAATGTTAGATTTCTGTTTGAGCCTAAAAAGACCAGTGAATCATGAAAGTTGCAAAGACATATAAGAAAACAAAGTAGGTCACAGTTTGGCCTACCAATTTTGACCCTCGAATTTTTGTCTGCAGATGTTGACATTGTACACAGAACCTCATGTATCCAAGAACAAAGGTTACCTATCACTCTCAGCATAACAGAGCCACAAGAAGACTGTAGGTGCCTAGGTCTTTCCCATTCACATTGGTGATGCACAGGATATATTTCATACCCATATGCTTCATATCATTATTTTCTCAGGGAATACAGGGAACACAAAGGCTCTTCCTCATAATAAGCACAATGCTTGCACCTTTGAAAACACGTTCTTTTTGTGCAGCGGACACACTGCTCAGTTTAAGGCCAGCAGGGGATAGATTCTTTCATCCTGCTTCACCCCACTCTACCTGCAGCAAATCTGCCCTGCAAAGACTCTCCATTTTGTCTAACTTAAAAATTCTTCCAAGCCAAGTTAGTAACTGGTCTAGTCACTAGCCAAGGCAGATCTCTCGAGCTTAACTTGAGTCATGATCAAGGATACTGTGTAGATGGCATCGGTGTGGGTATTGGACACTACACACTTGTAGTTATCTGTATCATCTCAGGAGAAGCATTCAGTTTGGAAAGAAAAAAAACATAGAGAAAGCAATAAGCAAAAGCTCCACATAGGTTGGGGTGGTGAGAGGCAGATATGGCAAATGTATTAGTGAATTCCTCTTTTTATTTGTGTTTAAATCAGTATTTTTTTAATCATTAACAGAATTGACCTGTTGAAAATCCAGAATCTCTGAGGGCAGAAATTTTGAGGCCAAATTCAATGCTCCCTCCTCCCTAAAGACCCCTCACAATCTTCCCAACGCCCCAGAAATAGACAGAAGTCTTCCCACTGACAGTGATGTGTTTTGGATCAGATCCATTCTTCGCCTAAGGCAGCAAAATGAAGCCACATTTCTTCTCAGAGACATCCTTTTATTCTGGTGCTCTGCACTGAAAGTGAGTATCACCCCTGAACTGCGTAAGCAATACAGAGACCAAAGGAGGGTGAATGGAAGCTGTTGGACTTATACCCTGGAGTACTGTAGGAAAAGAAAGAGAGTTTGACTTGCCCTGGCTCGTAGACTTGTAAACAAAGGACTGCCTGAGAGAAGAGGTAAATTAGAGTGAACTAAGAATTAAGGAGAGAGGAGAGAAAGGGACAGAGCAAGGAAAGTAAGGAAAAGAACAGAAGAAGGGCAGAACTTTTGCAGCCATGGGACATTACAAATTAAACAGGGCTGAACTCGGACATATGTCTTGAATATTATGAATTATTAAGATTTAGCGTTGGTTTTGCCTGAACGGCACACAAGAGGCATTAGGGCCTCACTATGCTAAACACAAAACCAAGTAACAAAAATAACGGTTCCTGCTCTGATGCTCTTTTTCTGTTGATTGGAAACACTGCCCTATAAGCACACAACGGTATTTGAAAGTAGTAGTATTGCAGTAGGCCGACTGCAAAACGGGACATTTTTATTGCTGCTGAGGAACACTATAGTGCTTAAGCTTTTCTTTTTTACAGTTTTTCACTGTGGAAATAAAAAAAAGAATGAGCTAATGGCAAGAAAAAAAGGTGTGCTACCTTAGCACATACTTCTTAAAAATACCGTCAAAAACATTCTGGATCCTTCTTCTGTTGATACCCACTCTCTCTTTTCCATGTTGCATTAGACTTGGGTTTACTTTTAACTTTAGCTCAGAATATTGCTTTGTCTCCTAAAATTAAAAAAGAAACATGGGAATTAATGAATGAATGAGTGAAATGGAACAGGGGCCTGTTACCTACCTTCTCTGTTTGGGTTTATTTTAAATGCATGGTTTCTTTTCCTGTCTGCTTTATGGAGGAGATTAGATTAACCTTGCTTTACTTTACTTACTGTACTTATTACAACTTTACATCCATCACAGCTACCACCCTGGGAATGAAATTTTTTCAGTAGCAGTGCTCTGCACACTGACAGGAATGATTTGTGATTTTTCTGTGATATATTATAAAGACTCATATGATTTTTCTGTCACTTTAGACAGTCACAGATCTGTCACATGGGAGAAATTATACATGATGGAAAGGCTTATTTACTTATGCATTAAAGGTCACATTCTTCCAGCCCCAGCCAAATCATTCGATCATGAGTTCTGCATAAACAAGAACTGCTGTATTTAAATCGATATGGACAGGTTTCCAGCAGCTAAAATGAACAGCAGCTTTTCCACTGATTTTGACTGATCCACGACAAATCTCTAAAAATAGTGAGGATGGGCATAGGTAACTGCAGTTTGCACCCGTTTTTGTTTACCACTCTTCCAGCTGTAGAAGATGACAGACCATATTTACTTGCATGAGGTGGGTGAATATACCCAAGAACACCTGAAAATGCAGTCAGTTGTTGGCATGTACTAGGTAAAGAACTGTCTTTCACCAGAAATTGTTGTTACTCACCCTCAGGTGTTGCCAGCAGACAAGGTTTTTCCACAAATTCAGGAATGCTTTCTCCAGCAAGGATCTCCAAGGAGCATATCACCATGTTAAAAGACTCCAATAAGGCAGAAGACTTCCTAGAAACAACTTCTTCGGTTGGGCAAAAAATACATTAATCAAGCAGAACAGAGAGGTAGTATATGAAGGATTTATTTACCAGGCGTGGGAAAGGGTGGATACAGCAAGAAGCCCTGAAACATAAAGTTACACAGAGAATTGCCCCAGTCAGTTAAAACTCTTGGGAAAGGAAGGTTTGTGCAGCAGGAAGAGTGCTAGCTGTCCGTAGGAGACTGCTGATCAATTCCTTGCTTCCTTCCAGTCCTTCTGTGGGATTTTGGGCAAGTAATTTGCTCTTTCTGTACCTGTCTTGTCATCTACACAATGGGAAAATTGGGCTGCCTTGCTGCACAGGGGTGCTGCAAGGTGCTTTGATGTTAGATGTCATTCAAGAAAGGTATCAAAACCGGATGTATCAAAAGGCCCATTAGGACTTATTTTCTTCTGCACAAGCTGTACTAAGCTCCTGAGTGCTGCTCATGCCCTGTGTCTAGACAAATCCTCCTCCTTTAAACTGTTAATTTCAGGAGGCTCCAAAGAGCTGCTTTTTTCTATCAGAATGAACCCATTTAATTTGTTTTTATAAGAACTAGTTCTTCAGTTCAGGTAAAACTGTATTTTTTTTCCAGCCAGACTGACCAGTAAAGAGCTGGCCCTGAATACTTATTTCTAACAGCTCCATGCAAACACCTCACTGAAACTGAGATACTTTTCTGTGGTTAATAGCAAAAGGTCTGTTTTACACCAGGAAAATCAACAGAAACTCTACTACCAGCTTGGATTATTCCAGCTTATTCATTTAGACTATTTCACTGCACTTTTCCCTAATCAAGGACCTCCTCAGCTCTCCTAAGTATATCACATACAGTGGGATATGTGAATGCTACAAGGGCCTGTGTGCACCCTACTCTCAGTGGATGTGACTGGGGACCGTGTCATTGTTCTCACTGCAGTGTCAAGACAGAACCAGTAAGGAGGTTGCTTTAAGCCAAGATAATCAAAGCAAGACAAAATATTTCTAATCAAAGGCAATGGCTGATGCAGGGGCAATACCTATAGTCTTGCAATAGCAGGTGGACCACGCACTGGCCTTTGAGAAGAACAAAAATACTCACTTCCCCCTCAGCAGAAGGCAAACCCCACTGCACAGATGCAGCCCACCCTTTGTCAGCTTGGTGTGCATCATGTAGGGAGGCCATATGACCATACTACAGGAAAAAATTCTGTCACCATATAGCCTGTTTCCAGTGGGGACTCTGCTGCCTACAGCTATGCCAAGACTTGGTCCCAGTATGGAAGGCAGTTTGGGGAAAAGGGACTATTCAATTCTAGTCTTTGAGGGATAAGTACTAGTCATCTAGAAATTGTAGCTCCCTAGTTTTAAAAAGTGTTCCTTGGCAAGACAGATACAGTAAGGAATGGTAGTCTCTGACGCAGTTGCGTGCTGCTGAAGGATCTTGGGGCAGAAGGAAATCAATCCAAAACACAAGCCTTTCCAGGATTTGGGGGCACAAATGATAAAGCTGTAATTATGCACTGCAACCTAGAAGATACAGTCCACAGGGAAGACAATGTTAAGACCATATGACCTTGAGACTTTGCTTTGTTGCCAGCAGAAATTATAGCTATGCCAGAAGTGCTCTGTTTTGGGCATCCTCCCAAGGAGATCCTTTTCCTTATCAGAATATATATACCATGGTCTCCTTGCTTAGCTGGCCTTTGTCTCCAGCCTGCCTGTACAAGAGTCAAATGTTCTCTGACTCCTTATGCACAGAAGACAAGTGAAGAGTCTCTATCCTAGACTATGCATGTCCATATACCACCTAAAATTATACAGGGATATCATGCATCTCTACACCCTGTTATGTCTTTTCACTTCTGCTCAGAAATTTTCTCACAGAGACACAATTTTAAAGGTATTTCCTACAAACCAAGAAGCCAAGAGAAAGAGATCACTCTTGCTTTTGCCTGGTCTACCCAAAGGTGTTCTCCCCCCCTTACCACCCTCTCTCACTGTTCTGTTCTCACCCTTTCACTCTTGCATACCAATGGTCGTTGGTGACAGCAATGATTGGGGCTGGTTAGGAAGAGACGAGATGTTACTCTATAATCCCAAAAGCCCTAGAAAAGAGCATATTTTGCCCTCATTCATTATGGGGCAAAACCACATCAGTAGCACCAAGTGCTAAAATCAGAAGGCATATAGCATGTTGCTTTACTCACCTCCTCCACTGCACAACTCTGCATACCTTTGAATTTATTTGGATTTTCAAATCCTACAAAGCTCACAGTGACATGGTTTAAAGGCCAACCCACCATTTTAACAGTTCCTCATTTCACCTTACAAATGGAATTCCCTTTACTTATATTTCTTTTACCTGACCAAAATTTTCATCCTTGGCCACAGATTTTTCTGAACATGAAAATGTTACAGGTTTACGATCCAGTAGCTTGTGCCAGCTAAGGAGCAGAAATGGCTGGTAAGAAACAGATTTTTTTCTAAACTGCTGGGCTATTACCTTTTGTTATCCTTCAGTCAGGAGAGCAAGTACTCTGTTAGAAAAATTGCCCTTAGTAGTAAGCGATGAGCTTTGGGAAGCCTCGCCAAATTACAAGATTTCCTGTTTCTTGATGAGACCGGAACCGACTTCCAGCGCCCAAAAGGTTGACTTGAAAGATGTGACATTGTCTGTTACTCCCCATCACCACGACTCAACTTGTCCATACCTTGACTGTGGGCAAGAAAGAAAACAAAATGATAACGCAGACAACCCTCTGTGCTTAGGAGCACAGATACATGATGAATCAACCCATGGGTACTCTGAGAGATTAACTTCACTCATCACATACAGTGTGGCTATCACACTGTATTTACTATGGCTGCTATTAACAGAATCAGCGCACATTTACAAGGCAAACCAGATCTCAAGAAAAGACTTATCAGTACCACTGAAGTACACACAACAAAGACTTGGTGCAAGTGAATGGTAATTTTAGTTTCAGTTACAGAAGACAGAATTGGACAAGTTTGACTAATTCTTTTTATGGTAA